GAAACGTTGTATTCTTAAAAACCTTAAAAAGTACTTTAAACTATATAAATAATATGCGAACTCAATTGAAATTGATCAGCAAAATTAGCCAATCAGACAAACTTCTGCCTATGATAATGCTGGTGGGCAAAATAAAAATAATACCACTATTTGATTTTATTTATAATTAGTAATTTGTGGTTATTATAAAGTATTGAATTGAATTTCATGATTCAGAACATACCCAAATTCAATTGTGATGGTAGCTTTGGTTTAATAAAAAAACTCTATAGGAAAACAAGAGTAGATTGTCTGGATCATATGGTTGTGGTGGTAAAAAGATCTAATCCAGCAGGATTGAATAAAGTTCAATGTTATGAAGGCGAAAAAGGCTTTCAATACTTGGATATCAAATCTATTTGGGTATTTATTTTAAGAAATTATCAAGCATCCAGAAATATCAACATTTTCTTTTTGAAGCATCTAATCTTGTTGTTGTAAAAGCTCAAGAGGTTGCTAATGGACCTTTTACTGAATTCAATTTATTGAAAACCAAGAAAGCAGATATCTTTGAAAAAATTAAACCTTTATATATTTTAGTGTTAACACCACTGTCTCCTTTGGATTATAAAAAGCAAGAATAACAATATTTGCCCATTTGTAAGGAATAAATTTAAAGGTATTATTACTTGTCCAAAACCAATATAAAAATTTTATAAATTACAATATCAAACAAGAACAATGAGAATTAAATAATTTAGAAAGATCAAAAGACTGGGGAAAAAGATTTGTTGATCAAACTGAACAATTACATTAAGTTGAAAAAGATTTAAAGGAAAATGCTTCTAAGTTAGACATCCCTCTATCTTAGCATCAAAGAAGTTAAAGGAACAAAAAGAATTAGAAACAAAAATAAAAGTATTAGAAGAAAAAGATGAAAGCAAGAATTCTCTTTGTTAAAGAAATTCACACAAAAGAAATTAGAGAATTGAAAAAAGAAGTTGTAGAAGCAAATTGAAAATATGACTTTATTCTGGAAAGGAGTGTAGGTTCAAAATAAAAGATTAAAGGACTGGAAAAAGAATTGGAAGAGAAAGAGTTATTGATTGAAGAGTTGGAAACTAAAGTTGAAGAAGAAGAAGAAAAGGTTGGACATCATCATCTAAATGCCTTGGAAGTAGCTCAAGGATGAAGTAAAAGACAATTGGCTAAAACTTGGAGCAATTAGAGACAGTCAAGAAATCAGGAAATACAAGGTATTCTCTTGACCTTACAAGGCAAAGGAAATAATTTGCAAGCAATTTACAAGAAGCCGACAACAAGAATTGAAACAAGAATTATATTTAACCAATAAGCCTTCACCAGTATTACCAAGGAAAAAAAGCAAATTACAAAAAATTACAAAAAAGATAATTGAGGAAATTCATCTAAAAAGGAAACAAGAGCAAATAATTGAAATAAAACTAGACCAAATTCTACTAATTCTTTTTTATCAAACCTATTTTTAACTTCTTTAATCTTTAAAAGTTAATACATTCATTATATTATTCTAAGTTAGGTAGCAAATTATTTCTCTGCAATTTCCTTTTCTTTCTGAGTTCTTTGTGGTTCTGTGTTAATGTTCTTTTCTTAGTGTTTATTCTTCTTGGTAAATTTCATAGGTAATCCTTCCAGTGTCTGAGTATCATTTTTTTGAAAATGTAAGGAGCAGTTTTTTCACCATGTTCTTTCTTCAAAATACCTCTAATGGTGCTGTAATTTTGGATCTGATGTAAAATAACATTGTTAAATCATAATAATAATCACCAGTGTTGGAATTGAGTTCAGGTTTGTGTTACATAAGCAATGCACACATTTTGTGATTACTAAAAAATTTTTTTATTAATAAAAAAAATTTATGATTAATAACAAGTGTTTCTTTCTTTTTTATTTGCCCGATGTTCATATGCTATTTTAAAATCAAAATTTTGAATAACTGATCCATTTAAAATCATTAAATGATTATTCAATGTACTAATATTCATTTTGTTTCTCAATTTGTTTTTTATCAACTTCATTTCTGAAAATATTCTTTCTACATGTGTATTAGAAAAAGGCATAAGGAGTTGGGGTTGGTCACAACGGTTGATCATCAAAATTAATAAACATCAATAATTAAATTTCATATATGCGGATTTTTTAACTGTTATTTTGAAAATTTTGTAACACAAAAATTTTTATAATAATAATAATAAATAAATTTTTCACGACTAAGAAATAATTTGAATCATAATGTCATTTCGTGAAATAATTTTTTCATTACAAATATTTATTGGATTGGGAGTAATTGTATGCTGTTGAGCACAAATTCCTGGAGGTAAGATTGAATAATAATAATATAACTCATAACATAAATGAATCAATTTTTTTTGTTACAAAAACATTCATTAAATATATAATTATTTATTTTTTAGCATATGTTTTAATATATTTTTGGTTGCCTCCTCACCAAAGTTCAAATTTATTGGATTGGGAGTAACTCTATGCTGTTGAGCATGAATTTCTTTAGTTTTTTGGAGGTAAGATTGAATCACAATGATAATAAATAATAACTCATTTCATGAAACAATATTTTTATTACAAAAATATTTATTAAATATATTTTTTAATCAAAGTTCAAATTTGTTGGATTAGGAGTAATTGTAAGCCTCCTTTAGTTTCTCTGAAGTAAGATTTGAATCATAATAATAATAAATCATAACTCATAATAAGCCACTTCATGAAACAATTTTTTATGTTACAAATACATTTATTAAATATATAATTATTTATTTTTTGTTACAAAAACATTTATTAAATATATAATTATTTAATTTTTTGTTATAAAAACATTTATTATATATATAATTATTTATTTTTTAGTATATGTTTGGTTGTCTCCTCATCAAAATTCAGATTTATTGTATTGGGAGTAATTCTATGCTGTTGAGCATGAATTTCTTTTAGTTTCTTGGAGGTAAGATTGAATCACAATGATAATATATAATAACTTATTTCATGAAACAATATTTTATTACAAAAATATATTAAATATATTTTTTAACCAAAGTTCAGGTTGGGAGTAATTGTAAATCTCTCTGAAGTAAGATTTGAATCATAATAATAAATCATAACTCATAAATAAGTCACTTCATGAACAGATTTTTTTGTTACAAATACACTTATTAAATATATAATTATTTATTTTTTAGTATATGTTTTAATATATTTTTGGTTGCCTCCTCACCAAAGTTCAAATTTATTGGATTGGGAGTAATTCTATGCTGTTGAGCACAAACATCTTTTAGTTTCTCTGAAGTAAGCATACATCCTAAAGGTTTAGGTCCTGAAAGTTGTAGTCTAGATTCTTGCAAATCAATATTCATATTGGCATGTATCTTTAAATCATATTTATTAAACATGCCCTCTACATGCTGCTGATGAACAACTATTGACCAAATTCTATTTTTAATGAAATCATAAGTAAAGGAAAATCAAATAATTTGGGATCATTGGCCACAGAGAAGGCAATAAATTCATTACGAAAGTCATCTTCTTGTAACGCTTCAAAGAGACCAAAAGATTCTTTTCTCTGATTATTGAAATCATCTACCAACTGGTCAATATATTTACTTGCTAGATTATTAGAAAAATTTGGTAGAGGAGTGTTTAATACTACACAGATAACTGCCTGTGCAAATGCTTGGCCATTGTTACCCCCTAAACTACAGACCGAAAGTGGTAAGTGAGTCCATATATCCATCCACTTTTTAAACATTTCCAAGGCTTTTGCTAACCCTGCTTTGACCTTATTCATTAAATCAATATAATCATTTTCTTCTAGGTGCTCACTTGCAGCCTGAAATTCTTCAAAGAAAATGATTTCTGGTCTCTCTACAACCTCATTCAATTCCTTGGTCCATTTTCCCACCATATCTGGTAGCTCATGAGCTCGATAACCATTGGGGAGTGTTTTAGGGGTGCCATTATGTTGTACCCTAGGACAAGGGTCTGCTCCAGTAAGAAAATGGAATAATCGTTCATAGAACCATTTGCCAAATTGTACCATAATTCTAATTAAAATATTCATTTTTTCATCCTGTAACCAACTGAGGAAAGTAGTCCACTTATGATAATATCTCTCTGGCACATTTTTTGAGGACATCAACTGATCAACAAAAAATCTTGCAAACACAAGGTGTATATCTTTTCTGTCAAGATACTGTTTGGCTGTTTCTAATTGGTATAGCCATCTGGTTGAAATAGGTTTTTGGTAATTTTTCAATTGATATTGGAGAAAGGTCCAATACAACTTTTTAATTGTTTCTGTTTTCATGTTTAGAGGATTATCTTTATCTGAATCATTGTAACCATTGTGAAGGTAGTAGGCAAGATTCAGTAGATTAAAAGGATGTGGACGTAAGGACAAACCAGAGGGATTAGGATTACTGCCAAATGTAATTTTCTCAAAAGCATTTACAACAATATGAATTGCATGGAGGCCACAAGGAATCCTAACTGTCTTTGATCCTGTTTTTTTTTTGAACTCAACTACAGCACCACCCTTTTCCCCAGACATATATCCAGTATTGTCAGTAAGCCAGTACAGACATTTATTTGTACATATATTATAAGATTGACATGATTCTATTATAGTATCACAGACAACAATAGCACTACAACATTCTATATCTACCATTCGGATTATAGAAAGTAAGGGTTCATTAGTGTGATGGTTCCAATATGACAAGCATACTAAGAAAATTTTTTTCTCTCCTCTAGTGCTTTCATCTGCAATAATACCATAAGAAAAGAATCTACAATCTTTATTAGGAAGATTGTCATGAATCACAACTTGAGCTACCTCTTTATTCCACCTTGCCAATGTTCTATGGGATAACCAGGATTCAGGTGATTGACCAGTTAGAAAGGCAAAGATCTCCTTTGTACATTGAACAGTTGAGGATAAAGACATCTGACCAATATTACTCATTTGAGTAGCTAGGGAAACAAATTCAGGTGTGTAGGCATTTTTATTTGCTTTGAATTTTTTTGTTACAGCATTTTGAAAGACTTTATCTGATATTGATTTCCTTTTACTAACAAGAGAACGGGTCTGGGAAACATAAGTTTTTCTTCTTTGTTCTTGCCTAGTAACCTTAATTGCAAGTGATTTTTTATATGCATTAAGATTTTCAATTTTTTTTTTTAATTTTTTAATTTCCTTTTCTAATTCTTTCATTTTCTGATTTATCTCAGATTCATTATTCTGAGGTTTGCCTTTAGTCATTAGGACCCATTCCATGGCTTTTTTTTGCAAATAAGGAGACAAAATCTTACCTTGATGTGTACCATTTGGATATTGCATGTTTTCAAACAATTGGGAGCAAGCAATTAATTCTTTTTCATCTAAATCATTTATTTTATTAATTAATTCAATTCTAATTTGCTTTGCCTTAGTACTAAGTTCTGCCATATTAGTTTGATCTATAGTATTAACAGATGAGTGATCTAAAATATCTTGGGGGTAAACATTTGATGCATTTTGGAAAGTTGAATCAAAGACATCTTGGGATAGAGAAACATAATCATCTCTGGATAAGGAATCATTGGTTACTAGAAATGACTTGTCAAGATCCATAGGTGAACTATTTTCTTTTTCAATTGGATCATAATTTTTCTCTTTTTTGATTAGACGGGCCTGTTGAATTAGCCTTAATTTTTGATGAAGTTTTGGCATTTTGTTTGATCAAAATTTTATTAGACTAACAATCTTTTATAACAATTTTTATTTAATAACATTTTTCCATTTCCTTAAAAGGGAAGGATTGTCAAAGCAAATGTTAATAGAAAATTGATAACTTTGAACCTTTACAAAAAAAATTTTTACTAATATAATTGAAAAAAACTCTCTGACAGGCCCTTAA